GTGGCAGACAACTGACTGCTATTCAATCTATAACAGTGAAAAAAGTTTTTTTTTTTAAATCCAAGCTTTGTGTCACCAGATCTAAGTGGTGGCAATGGGCACAGTATGCACTGTGAGCCTGACACAGAAGCTGGCAGCAGTGGCAGACAACTAAGTGCATTTACATTACATAGAAAAAATAAATAAAAAAAAAGCATACCCTTATCCCTAACCTAGCTATGCTTTTCCCTATCTTATGAACAGCAGCTACACTTTCCCTCCTCTTACTAAGCATGCAGCTTGAGAATGAATCTAAAATGGATGCCTTCCAGTAGGTGGGAGGGTCTGCTAGGGAGGGTGTGCTGCTAATTGGCTGGAATGTGTCTGCTGACTGTGAGGTACAGGGTCAAAGTTTACTCAATGATGACGAATAGGGGGCGGGTCGAACCGCGCATATGTTCGCCCGCCGTGGCGAACGCGAACATGCTATGTTCGCCAGGAACCGTTCGCCGGCGAACCGTTCGGTACATCACTACTGACAAGTAGGCTTATTTATTTTTAACAGAGTTACATGTGGGTCTGCTGAATAGGGTCAACTGCAATAACTTTAAACATAACAGTATGAATAAAAACTAAAATAGAAGACACAAAGCGCTCTACTGGACTTTGATTATGCTTATACAGGGTTAGCAATCACTTAGTTACTCCTGCAGCTGTGCGGGGTCGGCAAGTGTCCTGGCTGTACTCAAGTCCCTGGTGTCCCCTGCTGGTTGCTTGAGTGCCCAGGCACTTGTTGGCCAGGAGTACGTTTGGTTTCATGTGTCTGCTAGCTTCTGCCTCAGGTATGAAAAAGAGGCTTGTGTCCCATGTCCTTTGCACTTCTGTGCTCATTCAGGGTTATAATCCCAAGGGAGTCTCCGCAGATCTGCCGGAAACAATGTGAGATGTTGCCTCAGATAATGCATGAGCTGTGCTTACATGCAGAATGTGCCTTCCTTAGAGTCGTCCGGTGGGTGGAAAGAGTGTGTCGTTGTCTGCGGGCCACTGTCAGTGCTTGGTGTTCTGGTCCACATATGTTTCCAAACAGTGCCCAGCAGTTGCTCTATTGCTGCCACCTCCCTTCTCCAGCTAGTGAGGGACGCGGCGGCCATCTTGGGTTTCGCCATGCGGTCCCTATTCTATCGGTTCGCCGCCCAAGCGTCATGAGTGGTCACTGCTTCCCCGGTGGGGTCCGGGATAACTGGCAGGACGGGGGTCGGTATGTGCACCAGGAGTTGTGCTCAGATCCAGGGCCGGTGCTAGGATTTTTGACTACACAGGCGAAGATGCATTTTGATGCCCCCCCCCCCCCAAAAAATAAACAATGAATCTTCACCTCTGTGTCTCGTAGCCCCCTTTTGAATTTCTTACCCCCATTAGTGTTGCATATCCACTCTCTTGAATGTCTTACCCCTTTGGCCCCTTTGTGCCTTACACCCCCCTTTAGTGTGTCTCCTACAACCCCTCTTATGTATTTCTTACTTCCCTATCTATCTCTCTTTTTCTCCCACATAGACATAGATACAGGCAAAAATACATACATGCACAAATACACAAACATACAGACACACAACCATACAAGCACACAGACATAATTTTTCAGGCACACAGTCACAAAGATATACAGACACACAGTCATAAAAGGCACACACGCAAACTCAGTCATACAATCTACACATACAGGTACATTGTCGTACAAACACAGACATACATTCATACAGACACAGGCATTCACAGAAATACAGACACAGACATAAAGAAACATAGAGATAGGCATACAAAGACATACATACACAGACAAACAAAGAACCCTGCACAATGATACCGTGTAAATGCTCCGGCCATCAACAGTGGTGGATGCTCCGTGTCAGGCGGACATCGCTGGATCCACCAGTAAAGTCTTCAAAAGGAATAA